GGGAAATTTAGGATCTCCCGCGAGTGGGAATTCCGGGACCTCCCGAATTTCGGGACCAGGGCCTTCCCTCCCACCCCAAATCACGGCAGTCTCTGCACCTTGTTGTTGCTCCAGCAGCGCCTTTTATTCCCAGAGAAACCCCTCCAGGGCCCCCCATTCTGCTCCGGGGTCACTCCCGGGGCCGGTGCACGACGACCTCCCCGAGGGCCTCGAGCACCTCCCGTTTGTAGTCGTCGAAGTCTCCGTCGATCTGGCTCAGGCCCTGCTCCTCCACCACCCACAGCTGGCAGTTGGTCTCCGTGATCAGCCGCGCGTCGTGGCTCACCACGATCACCGCTGAAATGACGTCACGATGACGTCACGATGACGTCACGATGACGTCACGATGACGTCACAGTGGTATCGTAGCTCAGCCACGCCCCCCTGCCCCACCCACAGCCCGCAGTTGGTCTCGGTGGTGATGTAATCAGCAGCATATTGATCATTGTGATGTCATTGTGACGTCATCATGATGTCATCACGACATCATCGTGACATCATCACAATGTCCTAATGACGTCATGATCAACCTGCCCACCCCCACAGTTCTCCCCCACCTTGACCACCCAGAGCGGGCAGTTGGTCTCGGTGATGACGTCATCATCATTATGACGTCATCATGCCACCACTATGACATCATCTCATCATGACATCATGTCAGTATCATGACATCATCATAATGCCATCATTACGTCATCATGACATCACAACATCATCACGTCATTATCACAACAGCATCATGACATCATCATGACATCACTATGACGTCACCATGACGTCACCCTGCTCCCCCAAACTCCCTCTCTCCCCCCGGACTCACCCCCCTTGTAGTCGTTGATGGCGTCGGCCAAGGCGTCGATGGACTCGATGTCCAGGTTGTTGGTGGGCTCGTCCTGGGGGAGGAAAAGGGGGAGAAATTTGGGATCCAGGTGTCCTGGGGAGCCTCGGCCACGCCCCTCCGCCCACTGGCCACGCCCCCAGCCCCACTGGCCACGCCCCCACTCACCAGGATGAGCACGTCGGGCTCCCGACAGGCGAGTTCGGCAAAGACCACCCGGGCCTTCTGCCCACCTGGGGGGAGGGAGGGGCTTGGGGTGGGAAGCCACACCCACCCCGGCATGGCTCCACCCCCCTTCCCCTCTAACCCCACCCTTTTCACTCCAGCCCCGCCCTCTTTCACTCAAACCCCACCCCCTCTGTATCAAGCCTTTCACTCTGACCACACCCATTTCTCTCCAGCCACGCCCCATCCCTGTAACCCCGCCCCCTTTCAAGCCACACCCCCTTCTCCCTAAGCCTGCCCCTTTCTCTCAATCCCCACCTCTCCCACATAGCCCCGCCTCCTCCCTGCTTGCCCCGCCCACCCGAGAGCTCAGCAACCTGTAGGGTGTGGCCCACATAGCCCCGCCCCCTCCCTGCCGGCCCCGCCCACCCGAGAGCTTGGCGATCTGCAGGGTGTGGCCCACATAGCCCCGCCCCCTCCCTGCCGGCCCCGCCCACCCGAGAGCTTGGCGATCTGCAGGGTGTGGGCGTGGCCCTCGAGGCCGAAGCGTCCGAGGCACTTCCGGGCGTCCTGGTGGGGGAGGTTGAAGCTCCTCTGCAGGAATTCGGCCGCCGTCTCCTCCAATCGCAGCTGCTCGGCCGCTTGCTGGTTAAAGAACCCCACCTTCTGCGGGGCGGGGCAGGGGAGGGCTCAGGGACACGCCCAGGGGAGACACGCCCACCTGGGACACACCTGGGACACGCCCAGGTGAGACACACACACCTGGGACACACCCAAGTGAGACACGCCCACTGGGACACACCCAGGGCACACCCAGATAAGACACACCCACCTGGGACCACACCCAGGCCATGCCCAGGTGGGACACACCCACTGGGACACACCCACATGGGGAGGTGTGGCCACACTCACAAAGTGGGAGCCACGCCCACGTCGGGCCACACCCCTGTAGGCTCCACCCCTTCCTGTCCTATCAGACCACGCCCTCTCGGGCCACACCCATGGTTCTAAGCTCCACCCCTTTTCATGTTTAATTAATGAGCTGCTCCTGAGGCCACGCCCCCTTTCAGGCCACACCCTCCCCTGTAGCGGCTCCACCCCCTTTGGGACCACACCCAGACCAGCCACACCCACCCCATGACCACACCCACAGAGGCCACGCCCCCCTCACCAGCCGGTGGTTCCTGCGCATCTGCCCCCGCAGCTGCAAGAGAAATTTGGGTTTTTTTGGGCAAAACCCCCCAAAAAACCCTCCCCAAACCCCCCCTTCACCCAGGGGGGTCTCCCCAAACTGCCCCAGCCCCCCCAGAATTCCCAGGACCCCCCAAAACCCTTCCTGGGGGACCTTGTTTTTGTAGGGTCTCCCTTTACTGACCGACCCCAAAC